GTGAAGCCGTTTAGGACAGAGAGTGAATACACATACTATACAGAGATGCTGTATGAGAAACCAATGTGAGTTTGGAAAATTGCACAATGTAAATCTATTCTAGTAGACTTCAACAATGGAATTATGATCAGTAGAAATGGCCATGTCATGGGACATTCAAACACTTTTACAGAGGTGTTTATTCAATTTTATGGCTATTGTGGTGTTGTTAAAGTGCAATGGTTTGAGCGGAGAGGTTCTTTTTCTTTAAGCCTGGAAACAAAAATACAATTACCTATCAGTCAAATCTTCATGGTAGGATTGACTGTTTTTTAAAATTATTGTTGGACTGTTTAAGCCATGACTCAAGACTCCATCAACTGGCAACAGAGTGTATATAGATAGAAACAATTAAATACATTGGAAAGTTATCATCACAAACTCAGTTGCATCCTAGTTAACTAAAAAAATCAAGCCACAGTGTCTCAGACTCTGCTAATTATGCATAAACCAATAAATGGGGATCATTGAAATGGCCACTAAGTACCAGCACTCTCAGTATGTGGATTTTATTATTTCCCCAAAATCTGAATTGTACAGAGAAAGTTACATGATATAATTTCAACCTCCACAATACATCAACGTGGCAAGGAAATTAACTTTCGCGTTGGAGGTCAGGTCATGTTATTTCCACACAGCAGATAAGACAAGACAGGACAAGACGAGACAGGGCAGCTCAGGATAAACAAAAAGGTCTAAACATGTTGCAGGACAAGCCAGGATTTCATGAGACGGGACTGGGACACATCAGACCGTCGAATATCCATTAATTAATGCTCCTCTGATTGCTGACTGTGGACGCTGTCATTACGGCTATCTCAACATACATGTGCAGTCCCAGTTTCCACTGTTTGCTACATCACTCAGGATGAGCACTAATTTCAGGAATAAGTTAAGTAAGGTAAAACAATTCAGGAAGCGTTTACGATGCAGTGTGTATCAGTGTTTGCCTCTCTCTGGGGAAAGTGTTCTCCAATCTGTGTTCCTGTAGCGGCCATGTTGTGCATGCTGATGCTTCTCTATGCCTCCTGCAGGAAGACACACCTGGGTGAAACTGCAGAGAATCTCAAACAAGTTCTGTACCTGAACATTAGTTACTCAAGTTTTAGTTTGGTTGTATCAACTGTCTTCACTTCATTTCATAGTTGTTTTAATATTAAAGAGACTTGAGAGAGAATGATAATAATTGAACCCCTCGTTGTGCAGAATTGCTCCAGACATGGAACTCATGACATTATAAAAGGGAGATTTTCTTTGATACACCCTCTCTGTGTCTTCTGTTGAAGGTTTCCTCGCATTATGGGGACCACTCTGTTCCCACTTGGTGTAATTTAATTACAGTGGACCTTGGCATACCCAGGCTGTGCCCACGCGGAGCCGGTGCAGAATGCCAGCCGGGAACATCCTGTCTTAGGCGACAGGAACATCAGACGCGACAGATGGCTCATAAATCATGGAGGTGCATGCACAGAGGCGATGGGAGGCCTTCCTCTGGAGAGCACACTGTGAGCAGGTGGGCAGAGGGAGCATCAACATTAGCACTCTGAGTGGGGAACTGGTGTCACACAGGCTGAGCTGGGAGGGAAAACATGGAGCACGGCTTCCACATTGTGTCGAAACATTTTAAGGTGAGATGTTATAATGTGCAATAACTTTCATTTGGAGAGTATCTAATTTGCATAAAGGTAACAACGTTTTGTACAGTGTCACAATGTAAACCATATGGCAGAGCTCCCACCTAACAGCTGCCACCATTTTTTTTGTTTAAAACTGATGTAGGATTTTGTTTCCTTGTGAATCTTACGAGGAAAGATCCAGACTGAAACAGGTTGGACTTCATGCATGTTAAGTATTTTTTTTGTATTGCTTGGTCCCTCACACAGGGGAATATAATGATGATTACAATATCATATTATTTTGTTAAAAGCTAGTTTTCCAGCAGGTCCTTAAAAATCCTTAAAAGGCATTAAAGTCATTATTAAAATGTCCTAAACCAATCTTTTCAAAGTAATTGTTAACATCTACCTTTAAAATATTATACCCAATGACTCCTGCATGAATGTCACTCAAAATAGGATATCATTGCTAAATCTAGCACATGCTAATTTCTACTTCAAAATATGAAAAATGTGTCTCTATTATTGCTGACTCTAGATTTGAGAAATATTGATATTGTTCAGTTAAAATTGGTTATAAACTGCATTTTTTAAATTCATACTAAAAATGGAAAGTTACAGTGTTTATTCTGCAAGATCCGTCAAGATGAATCCTGTTTCAAAATAGGGAAATATACTGTCTCTGTGATTAAGCTGTCGTCATTGTATTCAACATCAATTCTTCCCACACGCTAAAGAGTTGACTCCATGCATCAGGGTCCCCCTCCACCATGTGTATTCATTTCTCATCTGTTATGACTTCATTAAGACCTCCTTGCACATTAACTGATACTGATATGTTATTCATTCATAGGGAAAGTCATTTCCTTTTTTATTGCAAACTGCCTCTGCGTCTAATCAATGCTTTACTTTGCATTCACTCACATTAAAGAAGTGTTGCTGCTGCGTGCGTAAGGCATAGTGCAGCAGGTGAGAAAATGCTACTTTAATAAATAAATAACAATCCTCCATTGAGTTGGAGCTTGTTTATTTCTCCTTGAACGGTTTCAAGAGGAGACATATCAAAGTG